GGTTGGCAATACCCATTGGAATTCTAAATATTGAAAATATCCACATAAAAAATTAAAGGCTTGGTTGCATAGATTAAGGTACATCTATAGACAGATAAATAGTGTTACAGAAATGAAAAACTAGAATACATTTCCAAGTGAAAAAAATCAATTTATAAAACTGTATGTATATGTGCTGTTGTCCCATATTTGTTTCTGTTTATTTTTCATGTTTATATATTCATTTATTGAGTTATTGTGTGTACGTGTCTATGTGTATTTTCATATATGTGACTGGGTATATGCATGACCATATAATGGTCCATATAATGTTTATATAATGGCGCATGTGTGGAAATTAGACAACAACCTTGGGTGTTGGTCCTTGCTTTCTACATCCTTTGAGACAGGTCTCTTTGTTGTTTGCTTCCATGGATACCAGACTACCTGGCCCACAGACTTCTAGGAATTCTCCTACTCGAGGCTCCCATCTTGTTTTAAGAGGAAAGAGATTTCAGACCCTTGCTGTTGTATTGAGCATTATACGAGCTCTGGAGATTCAGAGATCCTCACGCTTACCCATCAATTGCTTTACCCACTGAATCATCTACCCAGCCATTGTTTATCACATTATTTTTTACAGTAAATCTGATGCTTTCCTTGTAAATGTGCCTCTGTGTGTAACGCACCTCTTTTGTCCGACTTCTATCAAGCTTTTTATTCACAAGGATGCTAAGATTGGATTAGTGTCTTCCAAAGGTCCTGTGTTAAAGGCTTGGTCCCAGGGTGATGCTATTGGGAAATGGTGGGTCCTTTAGCAGACAGACCCAGTAGAAGGCCTTTAGGCCATCGGGTATGTGTCTTCAAAAGAGACAAAAGAGACTATGTCTCAAATAATAGTAATAGAGAGGGACAGAGAACGACACTGACCTTGACCTCTGGTCTCCTCTTTTCTTCCCAGCCTTGAGCTTTTCCTGCCATAGACTGCTGCTGCTGAACTGCCTCACCACAGGCTCAGAGCCAACCCATCACTGGTGAAATTCCCCAAACCTTGAATCAAATAATTTTTTCTCTTTGTAAGATTATTTCAGAAGTGTGTTACAGTGATGAAAGGCTATTGAACATAGCAAGCTAAGCTAGCAAGCTCTGTTCTTGTGTGTTCCCTGGAAACAGCAAGATATTTTAGACCCTGTTTTCCTGATCTGACAGGTGAGACCAGAGCAGTGCAGACTTCAGAGATAGTTATTCTTCCATTGAAGGGACACGCCGTATGTTCGCCTAGGTCTTATAAATCACAGCTTTTCACCCTGATCCATGGGGAAAAGCCTTATTCTCAGTTCTACAGGAATTCCAGGTACTGTTATCGCTCTTCCTTTCAGTGGCTCTTAGCCTAGCCTTGGGAGATTCTTTCATGAGCACACATTGATCAATATGTGGCCAAGTCCTCAAGGGAGACCCTCTGCATAACTCTGGAATAGTGTCTCTGCAAAACTTTCTTCCGTGGAGGCTAGAGAGATGGCTCAGCAGTTAAGAGCACTGACTGCTCTTCCAGAGGAGCTGTTCAGTTCTCAGCATCCATGCCAGGGGCTCACAACTGTCTGTAACTCCAGCTCCAGGGGTTTCAGTGCCCCGCTGGGTTCCATAGACATTTTCACTCACTGAGAACACAGACATACAAATAAAAATAGAAATACATGTAACACAAATAATAAAAATCCAGAGACAGATATTGGGGTTCAAGCTAAAGATCAGAAAAACAAACTAGCTAGGGCACTAGAGAAGACTTACCTCTACACCTCTACCAGGACTGAGCGACTGCAGACTGAGCCCTGAGCTTCTATCTTCTCCCGTCTTACATTCCCCTTCAGTGCTGGAATTAAAGGCATGTAACTCCCTTGTACTGGGATTAATGGCTCCCTCTATCAAGATATCTCTTTCATTGCACTTCCCCTTTCCTCCTCCCCCAATTCAACTTTCTTAATCCCTCACATTCTCATCCCTTTCCTTCTACCCCCTCCCAGTTTACCCAGGAGATCTTAACTATTTCCCCTTCCTGGGGCCCTCTATGTGTGTCCCTCTTAAGGTCTTCCTTTTTAGCTAGCTTTTCTGGGGTTGTGGATTACAGCCTGGTTATTCTTTGCTTTACGTCTACTATCCACTTATGAGTTGTCCTGGGTCTCGGTTACCTCACTTAGGATGGTTTTTTTTTTCTATTCCATCCATTTGCTGGCAAATTTCCTGACATCATTGTTTTTTTACCACTGAGTAATACTCAAAGATGTAAATGCACCACATTTTCTTTATCCATTCTTTGGTTGAGGGGCATCTAGGTTGTTTCCAAGTTCTGTCTATTACAAATAATGCTGCTATGAACATAGTTGAACAAATGTCCTTGTAGCATGATTGGGCATCCTTTAGGTATATGCCCAAAAGTGATATCACTGGATCTTGAGGTAGATCAATTCCCAGTTTTCTGAGAAACTGCCATATTGGTTTCCAAAGTGGCTGGACAAGTTTGCATTCCCACCAGCAATGCAGAAGTGTTCCCTTTACTCCACATCCTCCCCAGCATAAGTTGCAGTCAGTGTTTTTAAGCTTAGTTATTCTTACAGGTGTAAGATGGTATCTCTGAGTCATCTTCATTTGCATTTCCCTGATGACTAAGGATGTTAAGAAATTTCTTAAGTGTCTTTCAGCCATTGGAGGTTCTTCTGTTGAAGATTCTCTGTTTAGATGTGTACCCCATTTTTAATTGAATTATTTTGTATTTTGGTGTCTAGTTTCTTGAGTTCTTTATATATTTTGGAGATAAGTCCTTTGTCTGATGTGGAATTGGTGAAGATCTTTTCCTATTCAGTAGGCTGCCGTTTTGCAATATTGACCGTGCCCTTTGCTTTACAGAAGTTTCACAGTTTCAGAAGGTCCCATTTGTTTATTGTTGCTCTCATTGTCTATGCTACTGGTGTTATATTTAGGAAATGATCTCCTGTACTCATGTGTTCAAGGCTACTTACCACATTCTCTTCAATCAGATTCAGTGTAACTGGGTTTATGTTGGACTTGAGTTTTGTGAATGACTACAGATATGGATCTATCTGCATTCTTCTACATGTTGACATCCAGTTATGCTAGTACCATTTGTCAGAGATGTTCTCTTTTTTTTCCATCATACAAATTTTGGCTTCTTTGTAAAAAAAAAAAAATCAGGTGTTCATAGGGGTGGGGATTAATACCAGGGTCTTCAATTTGATTCCAATGATCCATGGATCATGGCAACTCTTATAAAGGAAAACATTAAATTTGGGCTGACTTACAGTTTCAGAGGTTCAGTCCGTTATCATCATGGTGGGAAGCACGGCACCAAGCAAGTAGGCATGGTGCTGGAGAAGGAGCTGAGAGTTCTGTATTTTGATCTGCAGGAAGCAGGAAGTGAACTGAGATACTAGGTAAGCTTAAACATAGGAGACCTCAAAGCCTGCCTCCTCAGTGCTACACCTCCTCCAACAAGATCACACCTACTCCACTGTAGGGCCCCGTCTTCCCTGTTCCTCGAGGCCAAAGCACAGGATGCAAGAATTGTTTAAGCTAACCAGCTTAGCTTCCCCTGCTCATTCTGCCAGCCGGAGGGAATTAGTTCAAAGCCTTGTTTCTGTCTTTGCTATGATAATTTCACCTGCTAAGGAAGGTCCTCACAGGCACCCTAAATCTCCTCCCATCTGTCTGTCAGGATTCCCAGCTAGATACCCCCTACATGGAGGCTCAGGCCGCTGGCGCCAAGCGGTCAACACTATGATCTTACTTCCAGATGGGAAGGGGCTCTCATCCTCTTGCCTCCCAGTATTGAAGCCGACATGTGCTGAATAAAGTGGTCATTTACCCTTTGGGTGAATGAGCCTGGTCTCTCTGTGTGTGTCTGTTCAACTCCTAGGATATTGATCCAGTCTCGTGGTTCAGTTCGGGAAGCACGCACTTTTACCGGAGAGTGGGTTTCGCAGATTGGGCAGGACACTCCACCAAGGCCACACCTCCTAATAGTGCCCCTCCTTTCTGAGTTATGGGGGCCAATTACATTCAAACTACCACATTGTCCATTAAAGACCGAAGACAAATTTATCCATCAACTAACCCAGCCCATACCCCATGTAAAGGTTCACTACACAGTGTGTTAAAGTAGCATTCCTTCATGCTGCAGGTGACAGCTCAGTGGAGTCCTATAGATTGCACAAAGTATGTCAAAAAATGCTCCTGGGTACAAAGCAAGGAGCTAGTTCAGATGCTGCCGGACTATCCTACACAGAAGTGCAGTACTGGTTTCTACTTTGGCCATCATTACAACAGCAACAGGCAGTGCTGAAAGCTTTTGAGGTGCTCACGATGGCATCACAAACAGAAAGCTGTGGGAACCCAGGTCAGGAATGTACATTCTTGTTAGGCTTTTATTTTTGGTTTTGGTTTGTTTTATGAAGTTGCTTTTAATAGTTTGAGATGTACCCTAGAGAAATACTAAACATAAAGTTATATTAGGGTACTCTAGAGGAACAGAATTGACAGCATATATATATATATATATATATGTGTGTGTGTGTGTGTGTGTGTGTGTGTGTTATCAGATTACATACATGATATAGTCTAGGGAATTCAACAATAGTTACCTCACACTGGAGAGTCAGGGAATCCAGTAGCTGCTCGGTCCCTGAGGCCAGAAGCCTCAGTACTCCCAGTCTGGTGACAGAGGCCCAGAGGATTCTTGGGTAGCCATTGGAAGCCCAAAGTGGCTGAGTTCTGATATCTGTGAAGAGTAGCATCAGTTGAAGTTGAGGTAGATGAATTTGCCAGCATGGCAAGAAGGCAGGCAGGCAAAAATCCCAAAAGCTTTCCTTTCTCTGACTTCCTCGGCATTTGGCCTGGGTAGGGGAAAGGGATGTTGCTGCCATATTTAGGGCAGGTCTTCTCACTTCAATGAAAACAACCGAGAAAATCCCTTACTGGTAAGCTGAAAGACTATCTGTTGTTGATTTCAGATCCAGTCAAGTTGACAACCAAGATAACCATCACAAACGGGTAAACCTCTCTGCCCCAGAGATGGTCCAGGGAGAGAGAGGCTGCCAGAGGAAAGAAACACAAGAGAGCAGACCTGGATCAAAGGGAATGCCACGGGGCTGGGCCCCAGGAACACAACCTGTGGGCACTGCAGGACCAGTCCCAGGCACAGGCAAGAAGGTTGACCTAAGCCACACACCTCCTCGGGTCCCTCCTTCTGGTCTGCCTTTCTCTGCTTGACATGGTGGCTCTGCCTTTTCCTATTCTCAGGAAAGCAAGTTCAGGCTGGTTACTGGGGTCATGGTCGTGGCACAAGGTCTCATCCGCGTCTTTTGTACACATGTATCTGCTACTCTAAAAGTTGCTTAAGAGACTAAGTAGGAGAGACAAGTTGGGCGCAGTAGTGGGGTTACTTTAACCATTCTGTCAAGTGTGGTACATTTTACTTGTGGTAAAGTCTGGACATTATCCCCTCCTCCTCCTCCTCCTCTTCCTCCTTCAGGATCTTGTGCATAGATATGTATCCAACCACTAAGCAACATTGGCTTTTTTGAGATAGGAACCACAATAGCTCAGACTGCTTTTTAGTTCATAGTCCTCCTGTCTGCCACACGCTAAGCGCTGGGGTTACAGACGTGTGCCACCACACATTACATCTTATGTCATGGTAGCAGGACCTGCAAGACTCAGAGAAATCTGTCATAGAACCCACAGTCACATGGGAGAGGATCAAATGTCTACATTTACAAAGCTTTGGAGTACAGACTTGGAAGATGCATCAGCAGAGTTGGGGGATTCTTTTGTTAATATTTTCAATCTTGGCAGTTTGGAGCATTTATACTGTGTCTTGTGTGCATATCCACTCCCCACTCACTTTTCCTCATTAACAGGTCCCAAAGAAACCCAGGACAAATGGCTAACCATGGCGCCTATTAACATGCCAGTGTGGACAGTGGCCACCAGGCTCACTCAGTGTCTGTGGCTCCTCTCAGCACCTCTCACCCCTGCACACTACCCTAAACCTCGCTGACCCAGGGGCTTCCCTTCCCTTCCTCCAGCTTCTTATTTCTGTAAAAACCTGTCGCTTTTGCCATGCCTTCTCTTTGTGCTCTTTGTTCTTGGGGACCCCTCTCCTTCGCTCCCTCTGTGTTTTCTTCCTCTTTTCCTCCCTCCGTCTCTCCTCTCTTGACCGGTTCAGTCTGCTGGCCAAGTTCAGTCTGTCACTTTTCCTCCCTGCACTCTCTCTCTTCATACCTACAATAACAACCTTCTCAACCAGACCTTGGAGTGGTCACACCCTCATTATCATTCACCTATCCATCTCCCACTGCTGTCGATGCCCTTCACTTTCCCAACCACCTCCTCCTATCCTCAAGTTTAAAATGTATTGTCATTGTGTATTTGTGGTGTGTGAGAGTCAAAGGAAACATGCCACAGTTTGCAGGTGGAGACCAGAGGGCGATTTCCACAGAGTTGTTCCTCTCCTTCAGTCTTCACATTAGTTCCAGGGACCGAGCACCGATCATCAGGCCTTTATGACAAGCACCCATAACTATTGAGCCATCTTGTCGCCCCTCATGTTTTGTGTGTGTGTGTGTGTGTGCGCGCATGCACGTATGTATGCAGGCTTTGTGCAGATATCCTAACCGCTGTGTGTTCATGACTGCAATGTCTGTGCCTAGAAAACAGTATTTCACAGCCTTCCTCTCCATCCTCTAGCGTTTATAATCTTTTTACTCTCTCTTCTTCAGTGCTGGCCGGCCGTTGGAGTGGGTGATGGAGATGGTGGGCTGAACACCCACCACCGTGAGTTCGGAGCACTTTGGCCAGTCAGAAGTCTCTCCACTAATTACCTACTCAGAAAGATGCTTCTCCAACCAGATTCTTTCCTCACTCGGTGCTACTCGATGGGGATGAACATCAATATTTAGATGATCATGTGGTTTTCATTTTTCAGTTTGTTTATATGGTGGATTATGTCAAAAAAAAAAGTTGACAGATTTTTATATGTTGAACCATGCCTGCATCTCTGTGATGAAGCCGACTTGATCATGGTGGATGGTGGTTCTGATGGAACACTAATATTTAGAAAGCAGTCTGGTTCCACATCCGTTCAGTAAGACATCAGCAGCACATGCCTCCCTGTGGACCTCCCTGCCACACGCACCCCACTCTCAGCTGACTGCTCTTACTTTGACCCTGTTTGAGCAGCCCAAGACCCATAGCACCTCCTTCTTCGATTTCACACAGATCAGCCCCATCATTTCCCTCTTCCTTCCCCAGCTTCTTGATGAGTTGCTCTTGCCTAATGTATTGTTTTAAACATTTTATTGTTTCTGAAAACATGAGTTTTGCACACAGACAGATCTTGTTTCAATCCTCTTTCTGTTACTTCCAGCTCTGGGTCTCTGGGTCTCTGCCTGATCCACTGTGTGAGAGCAGGTCTTGTTCTGAAACTTACAAACAGCCCCAGGACATTCTGGCTGTCACATCTCCTAGCAAAACACAGCTTATTCTTGGTTTATAGGAGCGGTTTCACTGAGCACCAGGATATTTCTGGGTGAATAATTCAGAACCATGAAGCCATTGAGCCAGGTGTTATTGTAGCTGTAGATCAGTGAAGTGGTCAGGTCCTACTTGTTAGGGGTTGGCGCTCTAGCCATGCACTCTTACACAATTCACACACAGTAAGTGAATTCATTAAAGTTGATAAGTTTGGCGGAAAAAAATAAATTGGGACATTGGATTAGAAAGTGGCCTGGGAAAGAGGCAGCATAAGAAAAAAATCATCTTAAGCCAGAGACGGGGAAGGTGTCTAGAAGAGGTGACAGAGCTGGGAATGAAAGATGAAAGTGAGCTGGTGGGTGTACCAGTTACTCACTGCCACGTAACAAATTAGCCTGCAATGTGCAGTGTTAAATAGCAAGCACTCATGATCCCCATGTTCTAGTTTCATTCCTGTTGCCATAACAAATGCCCTAACCAAAAGAGAGTCTGGGGAGAAAGGGTTTATTTGGCTTACATTTCCAGGTCCATTATGGAGGGAAGTCAAGACAGGAACTCAAGCAGCTAGTCACATGATGTCCATAGTCAAGAGCGAGAGAAAAGACAGAATAAACACCATTTTGCTTGCTTCATCGAAAGCTTCCTCTGTAGCATGAGGGCCAGCTTGTTGGGGTTTCCGTCCCGCCCGGTACCCCAACAGCCGGCAAATCCCAAAGAGAAATTACACACAGGACTCCATAAGGTTATAAACTGATTGGCTCATTAGGTCAGGCTTCTTGTTAACTCTTATAACTTTTATTAACCCATTATTCTCATCTATGTTAGCCATAATGGCTCAGTACCTTTTCCAGCAGGGGCAGCTTACATGTTGCTTCTTCAGTGATCTGCGCAGTAGTGCTGGAGGGACCTTCCTGATTTTCTTTGTTGCTTGCCGGCTGTTGGGGTACTGGGCTGGACAGAAACCCCAACAAGCCGGCCCTCATGCTACAGATGGCGCCCACGTGGATAACTGCATCCACAGAAAGCCTGAGAAAGTTTGGAAAAGAATAGAGTAAAGCATGTTTTCTTGGTGGCAGCAATTTCTCGGGTCTGCTCTGCTTGCTAGAGACAAGCAAATGCTCTCATCTAAGAGAGGCTTCCTGACTCAGCTTTAGCTGCAAAACTTTGTAGCTCCTTTAAGAGGTCCTGCCGTGAAACACTTTAACGGTGTTGATGAAAAGCTGAACGCATGCTTTTCGGTTTTCAGCCGTAGCAGGAAAAAAGCTGCGCTGTTTTAAAATGCCATCTTTCTGGGCTGCCCTGCCAGGGCAATCTCTGACTGTTTCAGGCAGGCAGTCCAACTGAGTGTAGTCTGTGAGCAGAATACTCCAGCTTGCTTGCTGGCAGGTACCTTGAAATGCCATAGAGTTGTGGCAGTAAAAGGCTCCAGTGGTACCTCTACCATGAGTCTGGAAAGCTAGTAAATGGACTGGATCTAGCTGTCAAAGCCACAGTTTTAGTCCTCTCCTTAAAGGCTCATGTAGTCAGAAAAAAGAGAGATATACAGTAAAGAGAGATTCAAAGAGAAAAAAAAACCTCTAAATATTTTACAGTGTGTTAAAAATATATATGCAGGCTAAAAGTTAAAGTTCTTAATGTAAAAAAAGGAAGAAAGAGAGTAGTTGGGTGTGGTGGTACACACCTTTAATTCCAATGCCTGGGAGGCAGAGGCATATTGACCTCTGTGACTTCAAGGGGCAGAGGTAGATTGACCTCTGTGACTTCAAGGTGTGGTAGCACACACCTTTAATCCCAGCACTGTGGAGGCAGAGACAGACAGATCTCTGTGAGTTCAAGGACAGCCTGGTCTACAGAGTTATTCCAGGACAAAGATATACAGAGAACCTGTGTCAAAAAGTAAAAGTAAAAATAAAAGAAATAGAGGTTAAAAATAAAGCTGCATAAAGATGAAAAATACACAGAGAATCTTGATACTGTATGCTATTATGCTCTCTTTGAATTGTTTGAATGCTGAGGAAGGAGCAACAGCTGCTAAAAGATATTTGTTTATAAATGCTGCTGAACTAATCCAAGATAGATGTGTTGAAAATACCTTGACTTCTGAACTTGGATCTAAGGATATGATACTTTGGAAAGGAGGTTCTTCTTTTGTTTTCACAGAGGATGAGACCCTGTGGATTGCTTCTATCCCAATATGGTATGATAGACCACGCCCTCCTGAAAGGTTGCTATGAACACCCTCAAAAAATTACTTCATTCAACTATCAACTGAGACGAAGCGAGCAAACAGGTTTACTGTGAAAGACCTGATTAACAGTGCCCCTATTCAGCAGGAAGAAGTTTGGAGAGAAATAACTACGTCCATATTCCCAGATATTGTTTATAAATGTTCTTTTACATTTAAAGGGGGATATGATATAGATATGAATAATTTGCTTTGTTATGGATTTTAAGGTCAATTTTGTTATATGTGTATATATTTCTGATTTTGATTGTGTAGTTCATTTAAAAATGCAATGTATAATTAAAAATATAGGTTGTTAATGGATAATCATCGATAATAGTCAAGCTTGTAGTAATGTTAGTCTGATTTTCTAGAAGTGCATAGATATATTTCAGATAGACATTCATATCTTTCAAAGACTACAGAACATGGCATTT